TCAGACTGTCCCAGGCAGGCCCCGTGGCCTGTAGAAAATGCTCAGGCCTAGGCCGGGCGCGGTGGCTCACGCCTGTAATCCCAGCACTTTGGGAGGCCAAGACGGGCGGATCACGAGGTCACCAGATGGAGACCATCCTGGCTAACACGGTGAAACCCTGTCTCTACTAAAAATACAAACAATTAGCCGGGTGTGGTGGCGGGCGCTACTCGGGAGGCTGAGGCAGGAGAATGGCGTGAACACGGGAGGCAGAGCTTGCAGTGAGCCGAGATTGCACCACTGCACTCCAGCCTGGGCGACAGAGCGAGACTCCATCTGGAGACAAAAAAAAATGAAAAAGAAAATGTTCAGGCCTAAGCCAGGGGCCCGGGCTGTAATTCTGTCGCTTACCATGACCTTGGGCAAAGCTACTTCCTTCCCTGGCACAGTTCACAGGGCTGGAACCAACTCGAAGGTCCCTTCCAGCGTGAATGTTGCATGGTTCTAGGATGAGAAGATGGGGACAGTTTCCCCTCTCTCAGCCCAACCCGTGTCCACTTCAAGGTGAATGGCCAGGGAAGTCACGTGTCCCAACCCCCCAGTTCCAAAGCCCTTGGGGACCCTGCTGTCAGGGTCGTGCATGAGGAGGTGAAGGTCAGGTGAAAAAATCGCCTCAAAGGGTCTTGCCTCATTTGGGACAGACATCTGGTTTCCTCTGGGCTCTACCGGGATTCCAGGGGCTTAACTGAATGAGTCATGGGGTCAGGGGGGTTTCTGGGGGAGTTCCCAGCTAATCAGCTTGGGTCAGGACAGCCTGGAACTTTCGATGGTGCCTATCCAAGTGTGGGGTGGGCACTGCAGCGAAGACCCAATGTCCTTATCTCAGGTAGGGGCCCTCAGGAGGTCACCCAGACAGGCAGCCTCTGGAGGGTTTGGGGGTAGGAATGGGGGCAACCAGTTTCTTTCTCTCTTAGAATGTGGGGGCTCTGGGGACAGGCTTGAGAATCCCAAAGGAGAGGGGCAAAGACACTGCCCCCACAAGTCTGCCAGAGCAGAGGGAGACCCCACTCAGCCGCCACTTCCCCACAGGCTGCTGCCGCCTCCAGGCATCTACCAGCGGCTCAGCCTTTGTTCAGCTGTTCTGTTCAAACACCCCGGGGGCCATTCAGGCCTGGGTGGGGCAGCGGGAGGAAGGGAGTTTGAGGGGGGCAAGGCGACGTCAAAGAAGTATCAGAGATTCCACAATTTCACAAAACTTTCGCAAACAGCTTTTTGTTCCAACCCCCCTGCATTGTCTTGGACACCAAATTTGCATAAATCCTGGGAAGTTATTACTAAGTCTTAGTCGTGGCCCCAGGTAATTTCCTCCCAGGCCTCCGTGGGGTTATGTATAAAGGACCCCCTGGAGCTGGGCCCCAAAACAGCCCGGAGCCTGCAGCCCAGCCCCACCCAGACCCATGGCTGTACCTGCCGCCCAGAGCCCCATGAAGCTGATGGGTGAGTGTCTTGGCCCAGGATGGGAGAGCTGCCCGCCCTGGCATGGGAGGGAGGCTGGTGTGACAGAGGGGCTGGGGATCCCCGTTCTGGGAATGGGGATTAAAGGCACCCAGTGTCCCCGAGAGGGCCTCAGGTGGTAGGGAACAGCATGTCTCCTGAGCCCGTTCTGTCCCCAGCCCTGCAGCTGCTGCTGTGGCACAGCGCACTCTGGACAGTGCAGGAAGCCACCCCCCTGGGCCCTGCCAGCTCCCTGCCCCAGAGCTTCCTGCTCAAGTGCTTAGAGCAAGTAAGGAAGATCCAGGGCGACGGTGCCGCGCTGCAGGAGAAGCTGGTGAGTGAGGCGGGCGAGAGGGCTGTGGAGGGAAGCCCAGTGGGGAGAGCTAAGGGGGATGGAACTGTGGGCCGACATCCTCAGGAAGGGATGTGGGAGAATATTAGGAGTGGTGGAGCTGGGGAAGGCTGGGAAGGGACTTGGGGAGGAGGACCTTGGTGGGGACAGTGCTCGGGAGGGCTGGCTGGGATGGGAGTGGAGGCATCACATTCAGGAGAAGGGGCAAGAGCCGCTGTGAGATCAGAGGGTGGGGGTGCAGAGCAGAGAGGAACTGAACAGCCTGGCAAGACATGGAGGGAGGGGAAAGACCAGAGAATCAGAGAGGACCAGGGAAGGAGGAGCGGCGACCTGGCCACGGCGAGTCTCACTCTGCATCCTTCCATCCCCAGTGTGCCACCTACAAGCTGTGCCACCCCGAGGAGCTGGTGCTGCTTAGACACTCTCTGGGCATCCCCTGGGCTCCCCTGAGCAGCTGCCCCAGCCAGGCCCTGCAGCTGGTGAGTGTCAGGAAAGGATAAGGCTGATGAGGAGGGGAAAGGAGAGGAGGGACACCCATGGGCTCCCCCAGGTCTCCAGGCTCCAAGCCGGGGGCCTGATGGGAGGGTCTCAGGCAGCACCCCCTAACTCTTCCGCTTTGTCTCCCAGACAGGCTGCTTGAGCCAACTCCATAGCGGCCTCTTCCTCTACCAGGGCCTCCTGCAGGCCCTGGAAGGGATCTCCCCTGAGTTGGGCCCCACCTTGGATACACTGCAGCTGGACGTTGCCGACTTTGCCACCACCATCTGGCAGCAGGTGAGCCTTGTTGGGCAGGGTGGCCAAGGTCATGCTGGCATTCTGGGCACCGCAGCCGGGCCTGTCAGCCCCCAGCATTTCCTCATTTGTAATAACACCCACTCAGCAGGGCCCAGCCACTGATCGCAGCTTTCCTTTACAGATGGAAGACCTGGGAATGGCCCCTGCCCTGCAGCCCACCCAGGGTGCCATGCCAGCCTTCACCTCTGCCTTCCAGCGCCGGGCGGGAGGCGTCCTGGTTGCCTCCCATCTGCAGCGCTTCCTGGAGCTAGCGTACCGCGTTCTACGCCACCTTGCCCAGTCCTGAGCCAAGCCCTCCCCATCCCATGTATTTATCTCTATTTAATATTTATGCCTATTTAAGCCTCATATTTAAAGACAGGGAAGAGCAGAACGAAGCCCCAGGCCTCTGTGTCCTTCCCTGCATTTCTGAGTTTCATTCTCCTGCCTGTAGCAGTGAGAAAAGCTCCTGTCCTCCCATCCCCTGGACTGGGAGGTAGATAGGTAAATACCAAGTATTTATTACTGTGACTGCTCCCCAGCCCTGGCTCTGCAGTGGGCACTGAGATGAGCCACAGTAAGCCCCTGGTCCCGAGGGTCCCCACCTGGGGCCCTTGGGAGTATCAGGTCTCCCACGTGGGAGACAAGAAATCCCTGTTTAATATTTAAACAGCAGTGTTCCCCATCTGGGTCCTTGCACCCCTCACTCTGGCCTCAGCCGACTGCACAGTGACCCCTCCATCCCTTTGGGTGTGAGGTCCCTGGACAAGCAGAGGCAGCCAGAGCTGGGAAGCATGGCCCTGGGGTCCCATGAACTTGCTGGGGAATCTCGTTTTCCTTCTTAAGACTTTTGGGACATGGTTTGACTCCCCGCATGAGGAACTCAGGCATCACCGACGTGTCTCCTGTTTTTCTGGGTGCCCTCGGGACACCTGCCCTGTCCCCACGAGGGTCAAGACTATGACTCTTTTTAGGGCTGGGCAGGTGCCTGGACATTTGCCTTGCTGGACGGGGACTGGGGATGTGGGAGGGAGCAGACAGGAGGAATGATGTCAGACGTGTGTGTGAAAGGAATCTCGACTGTCACCCTCCACCTCTTCACCCCCGACTCACCAGTGTCCCCTCCACTGTCGCATTGTAACCAAACTTCAGGATAATAAAGTGTTTGCCTCCAGTCATGTCCTTCCTCCTTCTTGAGTCCAGCTGGTGCCTGGTCAGGGGCTGGGGAGGTGGCTGAAGGGTGGGAGAGGCCTGAGGGAGGTCGGGGAGGAGGTCCAGGGAGAAGGGGGAAGGTTCTCAAGTTCGTCTGACATTCATTCCATTAGCACGTGTTTATCTGAGCACCCACTCTGTGCAGACGCTGGGCTAAGTGCTGGGGACACAGCAGGGAACAAGGCACACGTGGAATGAGCAGCCACAGCCGTGCAGGGAAGACAGAGGCACTGGGACCATGGGAACCCGGAAAGGAGAGCACATGGGGTCCAGGTGGGCTTAACAGGCCAGACACAGTCAGACAAGATGAAGCCAGGGAGTGCTGAGCATCTGTACCAGGCTTGTCACTTACCATCTTCCATAAACTTGAGCCCATCCATCAAGTTGGAGTTTCTCTCCTCCTCAGGCTCGGTCTCTGCACTTGCCCCAGCTGGTCACTTCCTGCTTACAGCAGCCCCATAAGCTGAAGAGCGCTAAGCTCACAGCACAGGAGGGTGTGGAGCTGTGGCAAGTACGGGGGCCAGCGACCACACTGCAGGTGTGAGGCCTGCCTGCAGCCAAAGACTCCTGTGTGGCTTTGGGGTACCCCCACCAGCCCCCAGTCCACTATCTGCCCAAGGCTTGTCCTCCTCAGCTCCTCGGTCCCTCCCACCTCCCCAGCCCGTGGCTCCTCGGAAAGCAAGGTCAGAAGAGTCCACTGCCAGCTTGGAGTCATCCATTTAGGGGCTCGGAGACGTGTGAGGCAGGCAAGGAAGGGTTAAAGAAAGGTCCGGCCCTCATCCCCCCGCCTCCCATCCCCCAGTCCTTTTTTGGAGGCAACAGATCACATCCCAGGCTAGTCAGAGTGTGGGCAGGGTTGGGCCAGGTTCAGGAGACAGCAGAGCAGGCCACCCTGCCCCAGCACTGTGGGGCCCTGAGCCAAAGCCTCTCCCCTTTCAGGGTACAGCTGGCTTTGCGGGAGGGGGCAGCAGGCCGGCCAACTTGGCTCCAAGGAAGGGAAGCTGCTTTCCCCTGGCTCTTCCTCAGCTGAGCAAGTCCACATAGGACCCTAAGCCCTGCCACCTCTGCACCTCTTCCTCCTCCTCCTCACCACAGCAGTGAGCTTTCCCCGGCCACAGCACAGGCAGTCCAGGGAGAGAGCACTGTGCCCCGCCCTGGGTGACACTGACACCAACAGCACCCACAGTCGCAAAGGGATCCACGAGGAGCTTTATTTACACATGAACAAAGGTAGATTTCCCTCACATATTACAAAATATATACACACACACACTCTGCATCTAGAAAGTTCCTCAGAAGTAAGACTACCCCTGGGCTGGGGCGGGCGCACACAGGGGTGACCACTGGGCTTGTGGTCCAGGCTGCTCACACTCCTCAGGTGCTGGCAGACAGAGAAGAAATTTCAAAAGAGGAAACCAGGAGACATCCTGGAGGTCAGGAGTCAGAAGCGGGGAATTAGAAGCTGCCAGAGGCTCTTGCACCATGTGGAGCGGATGTGAGCCACGATGCCTCATCTTTCCTCACTGCTTCCCTTGGAGGCACCTGGGGCTGCGCCAGTCCCCAGCCCCCAGCCCCCACTGCGGCCATGCCAAGCCCCTCAGAGTGCAGCAATGGCTTTAGCAGCCACCTGGCGGCCCAGGGGCAGGCTGAGGTCCGTGATGGCCAGAACCACCTTGGGGCTGGACATGGCTGACACCTTCACCAGTTCCGACACCTGCCACAGACAGAGATGCTGCTTGCTGGATGGCTGGTGGTGGGCGTGCTGTCCCAGGGGAAGGAGGCCCCTCCCTGCTCCAAGGGCTGCGCCGAGGCCCCAGCACCAGCGGGAGAGCCAGGAAGGTGGTACTCACGGTGGTGAAGGGCATGAACTGCAGGACACTGCCGCGGCCACCCTGCTCCAGGCAGTCCACACACTCCTCCATGAACCATTGCACGAACTGGGTGTGGGGGCCAGCTGTGCGCGACCCCAGGATGGAGGAGATGAGCAGGAAGAGGTTGGCTGTGGAGAGTGACAGGAGGGAGTTCCATGAGAGGGGGTGAGGTCACACTCTGGGAGAAGGCGGGACTGAAAAGGGAAAAGAAATACATGCTGAGCATGTCCCCAAAACGGGGTGTCAGAGAGAGAAAATATAAAAGGCAACCGGGGAGGGGAGGGGGGGAACTAGACAGGAGCCTGGGAGCCAGGACAGCCAGCAATGAGGAGCATGGAGGGAGAAGGGAGGGGCGCCATGAGGCCCCTTCCAGCTGACAAGGTCGCCCAGCCTTCATGAGGAGAGGGACTCGTCCAGCTTAGCCCCAGGTTCAGCAGCACAGGTGGGGAACTTACCTAGGACTCGGTTCAGAGGGTCCCGCATGTTGACTGTGTGGAGCTGAGAGGCTGAGAGGGAGCTGCTCATGGACCGGTCTGCTGCGGGACAGAGCAGACGGAGCGCTGGGGAACAGCCTGCCAAGTGCAAAAGCGGCGCTCCCTGGGGATACCCCCACCCGACCTTCACCCATCGGAGGTAACTGGTACATGGAAAGCCCAGAGAAGACCCTGAGATCAAGAGCACAGAGGGAGGCTGGGTGCAGGGGCTCACACCTGTAATTCCAGCACTTTGGGAGGCCAAGGCAGGAGGACTGCTTAAGCCCAGAAGTTCAAGACCAACCTTGGCAACTAGCGAGACCCCATCTCTACAAAAATACAAAAAATACAAAAATTAGCTGGGCATGGTGCCAAAGCCTGTAGTCCCAGCTCCTTGGGAGGCTGAGGCAGACTGCTTGAGCCCAGGAGAACAAGGCTGCAGTGAGCCGAGATGGTGCCACTGCACTCCAGCATGAGCAACAGAGCAAAACCCTGTCTCAAAAAAACAGGCTGAGCGCGGGGGTTCATGCCTGTAATCCTAGCACTCTGGGAGGCCAAGGTGGGTAGATCACCTGAGTTCAGGAGTTCGAGACCAGCCTGACTAATACGGCGAAACCCCATCGCTACTAAAAATACAAAAATTAGCCGGGCGTTGTGGCAGGCGCCTGTAGTCCCAGCGACTCAGGAGGCTCAGACAGAAAAACTGCTTAACCCAGGAGGCGGAGGTTGCAGTGAGCCAAGATCACGTCACTGCACTCCCTCTGGGCAAGAGAGGGAGACTCCAACTCAAAAAACAACAAAAAAAAAGGCACAGAGGGGCCTCGGATACAGAGAGATCCCAACGGAGACAAGAGAAAAACTAACGTGTGGCGAGCACACAGCGCCAGGGGCCGATCTTGGTACTTCCTAGGCCACTTACTCCTCACAACACCCCATTTACAGATGAGGAGACCCAGATGGGGGCTGGCTCAGTCACTAAAGGTCACAGCGCTTGCAGCTGGAGCATTTTTCTTCTGATCAAGTGTATAATCGGTCCCCTAGTCCCTAAAAGCCTTCAGAGAAAAGTTCAGGCTCAGGAGAAATCTCTGGAAACAGGAAAAATGCCACAGAAGGAGCCCTTTGCAGTAAGTTTGGCAGGGAGGAGAGGACAGTGAGAAGGATGCCCTCCAGGGAAGAGAGGGGTGGGGGGGTGTGCTCTTTAGGCAGGAAGGTGGGGAGTAGTCCCAAGTTCCAGCCCGGGCCTCTCCGGGCATGTTGGGGGAAGGAAGGAAGGTCAGAGCTGGTGAGTCAATGGCACAGGCTGTGCCTGAGGCGGTGAACTCACTTGGGTAGCTTGTCATCCCCTCAACCCTGGGGTAAGGGAGGGGGCAGGAGGGTTGCAGGCGGGGGCGGGAGGGGGGCTCGGGGGAACAGCTGTGGGCTGGGCTGGACCTGGGCAGAGGAGCTTCAACCCTCAGGGAGTGAGAACAGCAACCTCTTCCCTAGGGGCAAGACACAGAGCACCCCTCTGGGGGCTAAAACAGCAGGTCCCTGCCACACCCTCTCTGACCAGCTGCAAAGATGCCTGCAGCTGGGGCAGCGGCAGAGTGGCAGCATCGGGGAGTGAATTCCCAGGAACGGGAGCGGCGTGCCGCCAGCCCACACACTCACTGGGGCTTGAAAGGATGTTGGCATCATCCTCATTGGAGCTCAGCAGTCGCATCAACTTCGAAGGCTGCACATCGTCCAGGGGGAAGAGGCTGATATAGTCCTAGAGGGTGTGAGAGTCACTGTTACACACTCCTAACCCCCCCCAGCTTCCAGCTGTCAGGGAAAAGAGCTGGAGCTCCGATTTGAGTGAGGTCAGCATGGCCAGCAGGGCCTCAGTCCCTCTCTGCTCAACCCCTCCCACAATCCTACAGACTCCTTGTGTCCATGGGCAGGTTGGGGCCACACAGATCACCCATGCAGATTCCTGACCAATCATGCCCAGGCACAGCTGCCCCAAGGGCAGGGGCCCCATCTGCTTCCCTTTGCCTGGGGAATCCTCAGGAAATGCTGAACAAACCAGTGAACAAGTGAAGCCGGCGGGGGCGGTGGGAGGTGGGGGCCTACCTCGATGTCTTCGCGGTGTCTCTTCTTTTGGCGGGTGGATGCCTGTCCCTTGTGGGAGGAGTAGGAACTGAGGGCACACCATACGGCCAGCCTGGCAAAGGGTTCCAGAAAAAGGGGGACAGTGAGAGGCGACCCGGAGCTTTCTGTGTCACCCCAGAGTGGCACTAGGTGAGGGGTGCCTGACCCTGGGTGGCAGGAGCAGGGCAAGCTCTGAAGAGAATCTTACTTGGCAAGAGCAGTGCCTGGGGGGTCCATGAGGCTGTGCCACTTGGAGGAGTCAGTGAGCAGGCCAGGCAAGATGTGGCCCAGCAGGACCAGGGTCACTTGCTGCATGTCCAGGCAGAAGATGGAGTAGAGCAGTTCCACTGCCCGCAGCGCGTGCTCCTTCCGCGTCTCCTTCAGCAGCTCCTAGTGCGCAGGAAGCGGGGCAGTTCAGGAGCCAGGGGCCTGGGATCTGGGGCTCTGACACCCTGCCACCCCAGCTGGCTGTACAGGAAGGCCCGCAGAGGGGTTCCAGATGTTGCTCCGCCCCTCAGGCTGAATCCCAGTCTCTGGCCAGAGCTCCCCAAAGAGGCAACTCTGAGGCGAGGCATCCCGGGGAGGCCACCTGGTTCACGGCAGCCTCTTAAGGAAGCCTGGCAGACCAGGCCAGGTGTGGGGAGCCAGGGGACAGGACCGATGTCAGCCTACAGCCACTCCAGCCCAAATACCTTGATCAGGTTGTTGCAGAACCAGTAGACGCCGCCCATGTGCAGCAGAGTGTCGAAGATGTGGATGGAGCGGCTGTCCACCCAGCCCTTCTCCAGCACTTTGGCAAAGATGTCCGTCAGCACCTCCTTGATGGGCCGCTTGGGGGGCAGCAGGTTCCAGTAGGGCATCGTGTCCACCCCGGTAGAGGGAAACTTGATCTGCGTGGCTGTCTGCTGCAGCACGTCGGCACACATGCGCTCCAGGATCGAGTTCATGATCACCACCCTAGGAGAGGGCCGAGAGGACCTGAGGCTCAGGTGCCACTGTGGGGTAGGGAAGGAGAGGAGGGAACAGCCATGCCAGACTTTCCCCTGGACTTGGGTTACAGAAATCTCCCTGGGGCATTAACTCAGTTCTGCGTTGGGGGAGGGTACACCCCGGAGCGACCTGGCTCCGTCTCTGCTCCTGGCAGGTCTCTCACCTGGAGGACACAAAGCCTATCAACGGGGACTGGGCAGGGACTTTCCTCCCCCTGGCCATTCCAGCCAGATATCCACATTTTCTTTTATTCTCCAACTTCCCCCATCCCGCAGGCCTGGGCCCTGCCAACCTGCCACATAAACAAACGCAATCACTTCCTCCTGGGGTGAGTGCTTGGGGGTCCCCGCCCAGCCCTGGCGTCCTCCCAAAGTAAACTGTTCCTTCCAGGAGAGGCCCAAGGGCTGCCCCACAGGACTCTTCCCGGCCCCTGGTAGCTGGGCAGATAGAAGTGTATATCCAGGAATTTTCTCGTGGAAAGAGGCTTCGGAAGTGAATACCGACCCAGGCCGAGTGCTGACTGTTCCTGGAATGCAGGGTGGCTCTGGGAAAGTTGCTATGACTTTTAGAGCCAGTTTTCCCACCTGCACAATGGAGTCACAGACTTCCCACTACCTCTTACCCAGATAGGACTCAGGGTGCTTAGAATGGGTTACACCAGAATGAGTTCCCTATTTGGTAGGACAGGGGGGAGGTAGCGGGGAAATGTGGGAAGAAAGGAAAAAAGAAGGAAGCAAGGGGAAAACGAGATGTGCTTTTCCAGACCCTCCAAACCTCATTCAGCTCAATGCTTCCCCTTCTCCCTATTAAGACATCCTCAGGTCCGGTACAGTGGCTCACACCAATAATCCCAGCACTTTGGGAGGCTGAGGCGGGCAGATCACCTGAGGTCGGGAGTTCAAGACCAGCCTGGCCAAGATAGTGAAACCCCATCTCTACTAAAAATACAAAAATTAGCCGGGTGTGGTGGCGCATGCCTGTAATCCTGGCTACTCAGGAGGCTGAGGCAGGAGAATCTCTTGAATCCAGGAGGCGGAGGTTGCAGTAAGCCGAGATCAGGCCACAACACTCCAGCCTGGGCAACAGAGCAAAACGCCATCTCAAAAACAAATAAATAAATAAATAAACAAGCAAACAAATAAATAAATAAATAAAATAAAGACATCCTCAACGTTGCCATAAAGACATGGCAGCACCCAAAACATACTGGCTGGTAAACATCCAAGTTCACAGCAGCACTATTCACTATAGCCCAAAGGTGGAAGCAGGTGAACTGTCCACTGACAGAGAAGGGATCAAGATGTGGTATAGCCACACAACAGACGTTTTGTTTTTATTTTTTGTTTTGTTTTTTGAGATAGTCTCACTCTCTCACCCAGGGTGGAGTGCAGTGGCACAATCTCGGCTCACTGCAACCTCCACTTCCTGGGTTCAAGTGATTCTCCTGTCCCAGCCTCCCAAGTAGCTGGGATTACAGGCGCCTGCCACCACTCCCTGTTCATTTTTGTATTTTCAGTAGAGACAAGGTTTCACCATGTTGGCCAGGCTGGCCTTAAACTCCTGACCTCAAGTGATCCACCCGCCTCAGCCTCCCAAAGTGCTAGGATTGCAGGCGTGAGCCACCACGCCTGGCCCACAACAGAGTATTATTCAGCCTTAAAAAGGAAGAATATCCTGTCACATGCTACTACATGGATGAGCTTTGAGGACATCACGCTGAGTGAAGTCAGTCAATTACGAAAAGGCAAGGACTGTATGATTCCAGTTAAATGAGGCATCTAAAAAGTAGTCAAATTCAGCAGGGTGCGGTGAGTCACGCCTGTAATCCCAGCAGTTTGGGAGTCCCCAGTGAGAGGATCACTTGAGGCCTAGAGTTCAAGACCTGGCAATATAATGAGACCGTGTCTCTACAAAAAATAGAAAAATTAGTTGGCTGTGGGCCTGCAGTCCCAGCTACTTGGGAGGCTGAGGCGAGAGGATCACTTGAGCCCAGGAGTTTGAGGTTGCAGTGAGACTCACTCTGGGCTGGGCAAGAATAAGACCTTGTCTCAAAAAAAAAAAAAGTGTCAAGTAGTCAAATTCCTAGACACAGAAAGCAAAATGGTAGTTACTGGGAGCTGGAGGGAGGGGAAAATGGGAAGTTGTTGTTCAGCGGGTACAGAGTTTCAGAGATGTAAGAAGAAAGTTCTGAAGACCTGTTACACAACAGTGTGAATATACTTAACACTACTGAACAGCACACTTAAACAACATGGCTAAGATGGCAAATCTTATGTGTGTTTTACAATAAAAAAAGCAAACAACTTATTGGTTGGGTGAATGAACTCAATGTAGCTGGTCACCAAGGAAGTCCTCCAAGCCCTTGAAGAGCCAGGGCAGGAAACTGTCCTAAGAGAGAACTGAGGGTGGGGGATGGCCTGTAAAATCTACAGACAGTTTCCTAGCTCCTAGACAGTCATACAGTTTTCTTCTTTTGGGAGCTAGTTGTCTAGAACTTGAGTCTCTGCGGGCAGACCCTGTTTGGGTCTGCATTTCTGATACACAGCAGGTGCTGGCATATAAACGCTTCTGCCACAGAGACACAGTACATGTTTGCCGAGTCAGGTGAGTGAATGCATGAATGGGAAAGTGAGTGAGCGAATGATCGAGCAGCGTGTCTGTGAAGGTCAGAAAAGAGAAGGGTGCTTGTTATTGGATGTGCTGACTTCTCACAACACACTTGTAGGGTCTGAGAAGGGAAGGTGGGTTACTGACCTCTCATTGTAGAACTGCAGGGTGTTCTCACTAAACAGCGGCCCTGCCAGCTGGCGGATCATCTGCAGCGACTTCTCACGCTCATCCAGCCCCAGCATCCGGACGTGGGCCACAAGCCAAGCCACAGCACACACCGCCAGACTGCATACCTTCCCTTTGATGTTATCAGTGATTTTCTAGGGGAGAGGGAAAGGTGATGGGCTACCATCTATCTCCCTTTCCTGAACCACCATCACCTTCTCAGCCTCTGTGGGCAGCTCAGTGCAGCGGGTGGAGTCCCGGGCCACACTCCCCACAGGTTTGATCTTCCCAGAGCTACCTGGGCCAGAGGGAGTGGCTAAGACTACAATTACACAAAAGATCGATATCAAAACATGAGCTCCTGGATTAAAGGTCTTCTTGCCCTTACGAAATATAACAAGTCATCACTGGCTGGCTCTGTGTCTCAGGGGAGCGAAGGCTGCTGGGAAGGCGGGGCTACCTGGATGGACTCGAAGGCCAGGACCCCATTCTCCCAGGCATTGAGGATTTCCAGGATGGCGGCTGAGATGCTGAGACAGGCCTCGTGCCACTTCATCTGCCTGCGGGAGTGCAGAGAAGTCAGCACAGAGGAGCAGGGGACGGGCTCGGGGAGAGGGTCTTGACCCTGCCCCCACCGCCACCCTTGGAGTGGGCGCCCGGGCCACTGACACCAGCTTCATCTCCGAGGAGTTGTTGAGCAGGGCCACCAGGGACTCCACTTTGGTGGAGTCGGGGCGGAAGCAAGGGTGGTCAGGGTTCAGGATCTTGCCCTCCTCAGGCATGCAGGTCTGCATCCAGGTCTCGAAGAAGGGCACGTCAGCTCCTGTGCGCGACTCAGACAGAATCACCTGGGAAAGGGGAAAGGGGGCACCAGCCGAGTGGGGAGGGCGTGGCGCCTGCCAGCGCTGGACCTGGGACTGCACCGTTTCCCGCCAGGCTGCTGCTCCAGCCCAGCCCCAAGACTGGGGACGAACTGTTCTAAGGGAGCCAGACGGGGGCAATGCTGCCACCTAGTGGTCAGTGTGAACATGGGGCTGAAGGGGCCGTCCGGGTGGGCGGGCTCCTGGTTTCTGAGGCCCACAGAACTAACTGGCTGAGAGGCTGTGGGGGTGCAGGCGGTGAGGTGGGGAGAGTTCCGGGTTACCTTCTTCCCCTGAGCCCCCGTCCCGGTTGCTCCCCTCTCTCTCACCTCTGAACCATAGGTCTGGGCCACATGGCACAGCATGAGGAAGGAGATGTCAAACAGCAGGGCCCGGACGGAGGCCGGTTTGGCTGTGGAAGGACAGGAAGGCTGAGCTCCCAGACGAGGGCAGGGGGCGGTCCGTGTCTGGGTCGACAGGGATCGGGATTTGCCTCTAGGAAGGTCAGGGACCAAGTGGCTCCTTCAAAGCTCTGAGGCTCAGAATCCTTTTCTTGAGTCTCAACTGGAACATCATCCCTTCCTTGAAACCAAAGACCCCCAGCAGCCTCTCCTGGCATACCCAACCAAGTCATAAAGGAGTGAGGGCGGAAGGAGACATAGGGATGGATGGTCTGGGAAGAATACTTTTCTAGCATTACCCACTTTCAAGCTCTGTGGAAGCTTCCGTTGGTCATGGCTCTGACGAGGGAACACAGCCTCCCCCTGTTGAGCCCGGGAGCCCTCCTCCCTCCCACACTCTCCCGCCACACCCCTCCTCAGGGCCCACTGGGCCTGCAGATGCACAGGGCTGACTTACTGCTTTCTTCGCTGCCATAGGTTGTGAATTCATTCAAACTGAAAGGAATGGAGACAGGTTGCATTAACCAGGGCATGAGCTGAGCAGTAGCTGGGCGCTGGGGACTATACATGCTCAGAGAGTGGTCGCTAGAGTCTGAGTTACTGGTTAAACTTAAAATGAGACACATTGGTACAGGAAAAAGAAGGATTTCTTTTTTTTTTTTGAGATAGAGCCTCGCTCTGTTACCCAGGCTGGAGTACGGTGGCACAATGTCAGCTCACTGCAACCTCTGCCTCCGTTCAAGCAATTCTTCTGCCTCAGTCTCCCAAGTAGCTGGGATTACAGATGCCCGCCACCACACCTGGCTAATTTTTTATATTTTTAGTAGAGACAGGGTTTCACCAAGTTGGCCAGGCTGGTCTTCAACTCCTGACCTCAGGTGATCCACCCACCTTGGCCTCCCTTAGTGCTGGGATTACAGGCGTGAGCCACCACACCCGGCCAGAAGGATTTTTATTGTTAGAATTCTGATTTCCAAGGCCTAGAGAATGGCTCACTGAATGGAACCATGTTCTATATATGTCAAATTCCAAGACAATCAAAGGCAACAGAATTTGAGAGCCCCTTATTAATAACTGGGCATACTCAGAATTCCTCCATGCCCAGTGTTCAACACCTCAACCCTTACCCTCATGCCTTTACCAAACATGTCCACTCCATCCTCAGCTGAAGAGAAAGGAACACTTAGGTCGCAAGAACAGGCCCTTCCTCCAAGATCTCCAGCCAGGATGCTCTGCCTAGGCCCGTGGGTCTCTGGATGAGACCCAGACCCAGGTACCTGACTCCTACCCTGCTACCTCCTCCCAACACGCGGCCTCCCTGCATGCCCTGGGGTCAGGGGCTTGGCCTTCCTCACTTGATGAATTTCCGGGCGAAGGATTTCAGCTTTCCAGTGGCAGCAGCGGCAGCCAGCAGCAAGTCCAGACTCTTCCCGGACAGCATGTGGCCCAGGACTCCCAGCAGTCCCTCCGGGGACTTAGAGTGGTCTGCATCCATCGTCTGGGGACAGGACAGGAAATCAAGTCCTGAAGAACACTGAAGACCCCCCACCCAAGATACAGCCTAGCCACATTTTCTCTTTTTCACAACCTGGAATGTAATCTACATCTTTCTGACTTCGATCTGGAAAATAATTCCTAAAACCCACCCTTGCTCTCCGATCCATCCCTCTCATCTACACTGGCATGCAGGTGGTGAGGTTGGAGTGGGCAAGGTCACAGCTGGGAGCTTCTCTGTTGTTTCCCTTTTTTTTTTTTGAGACGGAGTCTTGCTCTATTGCCCAGGCTGGAGTGCAGTGGCGCAATCTCGGCTCACTGCAACCTCTGCCTCCTGGGTTCAGTGATTTTCCTGCCTCAGCCTCCCAAGTAACAGGGATTACAGGCATGCACCACCACATCCAGTGAATTTTGTGTTTTTAGTAGAGACATGGTTTCACCACGTTGGCCAAGCTGGTCTCAAACTTCTGACCTCAAGTGATCTTCCCACCTCAGCCTCCCAAAATGCTGGGATTACAGGCGTGAGCCACCGCACCCACGTCTCTGTTGTTTCCACGTGAGACGGCCTAAGTGAAAGTGCCTACTGCAGTGCCTGGTGTACAAATGAAGGTCTCACGGGTTAGCATTCGGTGGCAGCTGCCCTTGCCTCCCCTTTCACTACCTCCACAGCAACTATGTATAAAAGCTAAAGGAGACAGAGGTCTGTGGCCTGTTTGTTTATCTGCAAGCAGAAGGAGCACTGGGAAGAAGAAAGAGAAGACCGTGGTGGCCAGGGAAGGGCACACTCACCTTGAGGATGTTTGTGACAGTGGGCTCTGCCCGGAGGATCAGCTGGATGTTGGGCTGGATGTTGGCATTCTCTCCTGATTTCTGCTGGGGTGCGTGCTCTCGGTCTGCTTTGCTGTGGACATCACCAGTTGGTCAAGGAAGGGAAGAGGAATGAAGAGAAATTCTTGACACATTCCCTCGTTCAAGCCCAGAAGGAAATGAGCAGAGGAGGTGGGAAGCATGTAAGAATATCCAGGTTGGGGTGAAATTCTTTTTTTTTTTTTTTTTTTTTGAGACGGAGTCTCGCTCTGTCGCCCCGGCTGAAGTGCAGTGGTGCGATCTCAGCTGAAGTTTATGGACGCATAGTCAATGTCGCAATCATTGATTTATCCTTAGTCTTTTTTTTTTTTTTTTTCCGAGACAGGTCTCACTCTGTCGCCCAGGCTGGAGTACAGTGGTGCAATCTCGGCTCACTGCAGCCTCTGCCCTCCGAGCAGCTGGGCACTCACCACCACGCCAGGCTACTTTTTTGTATTTTTAGTAGAGACGGGATTTCACCATGTTGGCCAGTCTGGTCTCAAACTCCTGACCTCAGGTGACCCGCCCACCTTGGCCTCCCAAAGTCCTGGGATGACAGGTGAGCCACTGCGCCTGGCTATTTATCATTAGTCTTTTGTTTTTTGAGACAGAGTCTCGCTCTGTCACCCAGGCTAGAATGCAGTGGCATAATCTCAGCTCACTACAACCTCCGCCTTCTGGGTTCAAGCGATTCTCCTGCCTCAGCCTCCTGAGTAGCTGGAATTACAGGTGCATACCACCACGCCCAGCTAATTTTTGTATTTTTAGTAGAGATGGGGTTTCACTATGTTGACCAGGCTGGTCTCGAACTCCTGACCTCATGATCCGCCCACCTCGGCCTCACAAAGTGCTGGGATTACAGGTGTGAAGCATTGCACCCAGCCTATCATTAGTCTTAAATGTTCTGAAAGCACATTTAAGATTAAAGGAAGATTCAGGATTTTTACTTATTTTTTTTTTTTGAGACAAGGTCCCACTCTATCACCCAGACTGGGGTGCAGTGGCATGATTTCGCCTCATCGCAACCTCTGCCTCCTGGGTTCAAGCAATTCTCATGCTTCAGCCTCCAGAGTAGCTGAGATTACAGGCACACACCACTATGCCCGGCTGATTTTTATATTTTTAGTAGACATGGGGTTTTGCCATGTTGGGCAGGCTGGTCTTGAACTCCTGGCCTCCAAGTAATCCATCTGCCTCCGGCCTAGGATTTTTACTTTTATCAGAAAGATGGGTATGAGTTAAAGAGCAATGACTAAGAACGTAAAACTCTGGTCTGAAGACACCCATGTTTTTTTTTTTTTTTTTTTTTTTTTTTTTTTTTTTTTTTTTGAGACAGAGTTTTGCTCTTGTTGCCCAGGCTGGAGTGCAATGGCGTGATCTTGCCTCATCGCAACCTCCGTCTCCCGGGTTCAAGTGATTCTCCTGCCTCAGCCTCCCAAGTAGCTGGGATTACAGGCATGTGCCACCACAGCTAATTTTTTATTTTTAGCAGAGACGGGGTTTCTCTACGTTGGTCAGGCTGGTCTTGAACTCCCGACCTCAGGTGATCCACCCGCCTCAGCCTCCCAAAGTGCTGGGATGACAGGCGTGAGTCACCGCGCCCGGCTGGTACCCCCAGGCACAGTCCCAGTCACTTGCAGCTCAAACTTTAGACAGGAGGTTGAAAGGCACCCAGCAGCCCCACCGTAAAGAGAGAGAGGTCAAGGGGCTCTTGGGGTAGCCCAGGCGTGCTCACACTTACCGCTTAGCCATAAGGCTGTTGACACTGGCCTCAGACAGAAGCCCCTGCTTGCCACATTCTTGGAGCAGGAAGTTTGTACAGTCACAGCTGTGAAAGAGAAAGATGTGGAGGGAACTGGGCACCTGGCTGGGAGGGCGAGGGGTGGGAGTGGCCAGTCCCTGAGCAGCATCCTCCCTCTTTCAGGTGAGGAAAATCTGGAGGGCCTGAGGGACAGTAGAGGGGCTCTGGGGACTTGGCAACTATGGGCTGCTGCTTCCTGCCCCTGCCAAGGGGAGTGAACAAGGAGACAGAGTCCCCTGAGGCTTCTCTGGCACAGAGATCAGGGGAAGAGCCCAGAACCCCTTCCAGTAGGGTAGGGGTGACCAGGGGAGCTCATACTTGCAGCGCTGGTCAGCTTTGTCCAACAAGGGTGTGAGTTTCAGCAGGAACTCAAAAGCACAGTTGACATCCTCAGTGAAGTCCTAGAAGGAGGCAGAAGTGTCCACCTGGTTTCCAGGGCCACCAGGCCCTGATCATCTCAGGCAACCTTGTCTGCTGGAGACATCAGCCTGAGCTGCCTGGCTGCCTTCTGCCTGGAGCCTGGGCGTATGCTGTGGGTGCACACACACGCTGAAGCACACACACACACTGAAGCACACACATGGCAAAGCACGCACATGCTGAAGCACATGCACACACTGAAGCACACACATTGTGAAGCACGCACACACTGAGGTGTACACACACATTCAGCTCTCTTCCAGGCATAAGAACACTGCCCAGCTGGGGCCTGAAGGACCCTCCCTTTGCCCTTGTTTCTGCTCCCATGCCTCCATCTCAATCCTCAACTCAACTCACCTTGTCCCCATGAGAGTACTTCTTCAACTTCACCAAAACCTGTGGAATCTAGGGGGTGAGGCAGGGGGAAAAACAGGAAGATCCATTTCTTTTCTCTTTCATCCAGCCCTGAAGGCATCCCCCCGACCCCCTGCTCCAGGAAAAGAGACAGGAACACTCGTACCCTGCGAGTGAGAGCACACTTAGTGCTGAATGAGAAAGCCAATAGGTGCCCAAGCCCCTGATGCCCCCAGGCCCAGGCACAGGACACTGGGACCCTATACCTCTGCTAGCTCAACAGAAAAAAATGCCATAAGCAAAAGTGGATCCCCAGCTTCAAGGAGGACTGGGGCCCCATTCCCTGGCTCCTTTCACTGCCCTACACCAATCTGTCTGATGACCAAGCTAAACTGCACCTCTGTGGTAAGAAACAACGGAGTCTGCCAAATGGGCTAAATATAGCCCTGGCACTTTCAGAGAAAATGATCAATGGGAACTTGCGCTGGGATACCTGGCAGGCTGGGCCCAGCGCCCACAGGGAGGAACACAGGGCAAAGGTCCAGGGTGCCGCTGCTCTTCCTGAGAACCATTCCTAGACTGGCTCTGCCCCTCCCACGTCCCCAGTACCTTGAGGAAAGTGAAAGCTGTCCACTTGAGCTCCTCCGTACCCTCGGGAGACTCAATGAGCCCCACGAAGCAAGCTTTCCAGATCTCCAGGACAAAAAGTGGGGTGGGGATATGCTGTGGGAAGAGCCAAGGACGAGGCCTAAGAGGGTGCCCATACCCCGTCATCCTTCTGTGGACTCCGAGGATTTGGCTGGCTCAGAGACTGCATGGCAGTCACTGCCCAGCTGTGTGCTGAGAACCAGGGGCGTAAGGTCCAATGACAGAAGTGTGCACAACTAGCACCCACTTTCCATCATGGAGCAGGAGAAACCCCACTTCTCCCAGGGAGGACTACAAGAATCCTCCCTCCTGCCCCCAACAGGCTGGCCCGCCTTGGGGAGGGGAGAGCCACTTGGCCCCTCCCACCTGCATGCGCTTCACCATCGTCAGCTGCTCCACCAGGGACTGTGTCTCGCCTGTCAGGTTCATGGTGCCCTCGAGCAGGATCACGGCGTGGACGGTGGGGAAGCCGGTCTTGTTCATCTGCTCCGCATGCACAGACAGCATCATGGGGATGCTGAGGGATCACAAACACAGGGGACAGTGTTTGGGGGACCAAAGGTGAAGGTGGAGAGGATGGCACGAGGTGCCACATCTTCCCACCCCAGGGCGTGTCCTCCCTCTCCCTCTACCACCATCCCCCAGGGAGCTGGTACCTCCTAATGAGGGTGCCGCACTGCTCAGCCTGGCTCCGGAGCTGGGGGTTGCTGAGATTGGCCAGGATCTCTCCAAGTTTCAAGAGAGAATGCTCGATGGCAGTCCAGGAAGCTGGCAGAGGGAAAGAAGTGCAGAAACGTGATGGGAAACAGGGGAGAGGGAGTGCCTTGCCCCGAACTCCTCGATTTTGGCACCCCCTCTGGCACATGAAACCACACAGGAAGGCTTTCCCTGAGAACGACAGGGAAGGAGGGGCCTGAGGGCAGCATGCACTGTTTCCAGAAGGGGAGTGGGCACCTAGAGCTGGAAACCCCAGAGACCATTCCCAAAGGCCTGACTTCCAAGGGACACAGCCAGCTGACTTCAGAAGGTATGGCATCACACAGGCTCAGGAGAGAGAGGCAGAGGGAGGCCAGAGCCCAGTGGCTGGAACAGGGAGGGTAGCCACAAATCACTCGAGGAGTGGGCGGATCCCAAAGTCCAGTCTTGCAGAGGCTGTCACTCTCCTCTGGGGGAGCTGGGTCCCTAAATGGCCTTCTCATTCTCAACCACTCCCTCATCTAGGCATTGTGCTTGCTGCCCTCCCCTGCTAAAGCCTCTCACACACCCTCTCTCAAACTCCCACATGCTCTAAGCTTCTGTTCAAGCCCCAGTTCCTTTAGCAACTCACCCAACTGGTCTAACTCACTGTTCTGTCCTTCCTTAATGCCCACACTCATGGTCTAAGCCATATATCAGTTAGCACTGAATTATGTTACTTATCCTAGTTACAATTCCAGAGGGTCAAATGATGAACAATGGCACCAACTAGCCCATTAACCTCCATGGAGCATAAAAGGGGGAAAAAAAAGACAAGACCTGAGATCCATTAAAATTCAGTATTCATCCGATTTTCAGCCAATAAACATGTATCAAGGGCCCAAGGTAAGGAAGAGGCTGTCAACACAGTCCATTTTTATATAAAGATTATGTTTTTGGACTTTTCACAGGCAGTAAAACATACTTGGGGAAGAAATAAATATACTAGTCCTAAAACAAGCTCTCCAACCAGGTCCTGAAGCCTCGTGAGTAGCCCATTCTAGCATTCTTGTTCCTGGAGAACAAGAGATCTGTAGGTGGTCCCAAGCCACTTGGGCTTCAAGGAGCAAGACTATGGCCTTAGGACCCCGTTGCTGGAAATACCGGCATCTTCCCTCCCGCCAGGTGATCTGTCTGTTCTCAGGCTCTGGAAAGTACCAACACTTAACATCTGAACTTGAGTCAAGAGGCATATGGTACAACAGGCCCAACAGCAGACAGGCACTGTGTTAAAAGGGGCATTTTAGGTAACATTCAAATACGAGAGTCATTTGCTTCCAGACGATGAGTAACATGGAGACAAACACAGTAACGGACACTGTGCTTGTCTTGTCCTCTAGTTTTTTCCGCGTCTGTGATGTATTAGTCTTGCTCCCCACTAGCAGCTATGCTTGATGAGGGCAGGGACCCTGCCACATGCTCCTTTGGTAGCCCCCCACCCCCCGCCCGCAGCACCTAGCACAGTGCTGGGCGTACCACAATGCTCAGTAAATACCTGTTGGTTGATTGGCTCGGGTGCCACCCTGCCCAAGTCCCTGGGATGTGTGCAATGCTTATGGGGAGAAAAAAAAGGAAGTGGGATGGTTTCAGATCCTCCTGGAAAGAGGTGGGATGGCATCCTGCCTCTCCCTTCTCAATTAAAGGACCGGCTACGGGAGCAGCGGCAGGTGGGGCTCAGGGGAATCAAGGGACATACAGGCCTCCTCTAGTTTGGCGATGTGCAGCAGGGCCCGGTTCTTGGTGCTGCTGAGGGTTTTCTCCAGGCGCTGAAGGCACATGGCAAGCTGCTTCTCCCCAGCGGCTGGAGTGCCAGCCTCCAGCCCCTCCCGGAGCCGCTCTGCAGAGGCTGCCGTGCAGCGCAGCAGCCAGTGGAGGGCGCTAAGAAGGGCTCGGCACAGTCCGATGCACTCCTCAGCTTTGCCGTGACAGCTACAGGGAAGGATGCAAAATTAGCCTGTGTTCTTCTAATGGCCGAAATCCGACCCACACCAATGTTCCCCAGAGTCCCTGGCACTCCCTTATTAGGGACTAGGGCTGCAAAGCTAGCAAAGTCCTGGGGAAGACGCTTAGCCGCTTTGGCTTCTACTGGACAAGATTTCAAATGAGCTACTCCAGACAGAGAGGAGGCACTCTGTCCTAAGGGAGTAAGAAAAGGAGGGGATGAGTGAGTGTGGATGGCAGGTGGGGAGAAAAAACATGGGAACCCAGAGTTGGTCTCGGTCTGTGTGCTAGGAGCTGCACCTCTGCACTAAGACAAGGCTAGAACGTTGTAAGCCCCCTTACCCCTGCCCTTACCTCAGACGGTCACAAAACATGTCCATGATGTCTAGTAATGCCTGGACACACAGGTCCCGAGAAAAGTCATCAAACTGTGGAAAGGACAGTGGAGATGCTACGGAATGCCCCTGTCCACCCCCAGGTCTCACATGAGGCAGATGGTGTGTTCAGGACTCCTGCTCCTCTCTCCTCCAACCTTGGGTCCAAGACTCAGCACCCTCAACACTGGACATTGGTTCCCAAGCACCAGCCGCTACTTGCCAGGATCCCCCTCCCATGGAAGGCCAGCAATGCCAGCCAGAGGCATCATGTGCTGCCTATCCAGCCTCATGGGTCACAGGATCAGGGTCGTCAAGGAGGTGGGGCCTTGTCTGTCATCCCCAACCTAGCTCCTGAGTGCCTACGGTCATACCTTACTGATGGCTGTGAGGACAGAAGAGTAGGACACCATCTGGAGAGAAGGAAGAAAGATAATCTTTAGGTAACTAGTCTCCTACAGTTGAGAGGAACAAAAACTGAGGCTTCAAGTTGCTGTAGCTCTCCTGAACCTCAATCCCTTCCAGAGGCCCTCTTCAATCCAGGGAAGGAGAGGCAGTGTCACTGTGCACCACCCTGTTCCTGCCTCTGTCAGACTCACTGCAAATGGTATCAGCATAAGCCCATCAAGAAGATGATTTTGGGGATACTCAGAGGCTCCATGTTTCAGGCCAGGCACGGTGGCTCACGCCTGTAATCCCAGAACTTTGAGAGGCCGAGGCGGGCGGATCACGAGGTCAGGAGTTTGAGACCATCCTGGCCAACATGGTGAAACCCTGTCTCTACTAAAAATATAAAATTAGCTGGGTGTGGTAGTGCGTGCCTGTAATCCCAGCTACTCAGGAGGCTGAGGCAGGAGAATCGCTTGAATCAGGGAGTTGGAGGTTGCAGTGAGCCGAGATCGTGCCACTGCACTCCAGCCTGGACGACAGAGTGAGACGAAAAGAAAGAAGGAAAGAAAGAAACAAGGAAGGAAGGAAGGGAAGGAAGAAGGGAAGGAAGAAAGGAAGGAAAAGGAAGGAAAAGAAAGGAAGGAAGGAAGGAAGGAAGGAAGGAAGGAGGGGGGGAGGGGGCAAGGGGGAGGGGAGCGGAGGGGAGGGGAGGGGGAAAGACGGAGTAAGTTTCACTGTACAAACTCTTAATTGTTCTCCAGAACTTACTCTCTGGGACCCATCCAGGACACCTTCCTTGATCAACCCCCAACCTCTCTTACCAAGCTCAAACCCTTCCTCTGTGCTCCCAGTAATCACCTTAGGCTCATCATTACATGGCAGGTGCCTGCAGTCCCCACTAAATCAGAAGCTCCTTGCAGACAAGGATGCTTTTACTCAGTGACCACCACAAACTTGATATTTGTAGAATGAATAAATAAAAACACACCGTTAGCTCAGCATGTCTCAGAGTAGCTTCCAAAGCTGCCCTATCCAATAGAGAAGTCACTAGCCCCATGTGGCTATTTAAATTTAAATTAATTAAAGTTAAATAAAATTTGGCTGGGCGTAGTCGCTCATGCCTGTAATCCCAGCACTTTGGGAGGCCAAGGCGGGAGGATCATGAGGTCAGAAGATCAAGACCATCCTGGCTAACACGATGAAACCCCATCTCTACTAAAAATACAAAAAAATTGGCCGGGTGTGATGGCGGGCGCTTGTAGTCCCAGCTACTAGGGAGGCTGGGACAGGAGAATGGCGTGAACCCGGGAGGCGGAGCTTGCAGTGAGCTGAGATCGCGCCACTGCACTCCAGCCTAGGCGACAGAGCAAGAGACTCTGTCTCAAAAAAAAAAAAGTTAAATAAAATTTAAAATTTAAAATGCAGTTCTTCAGTCACACTAGCCACATTTCAAGTGCTCCACGGCCACACGCGGCCAGGGGCTTCTGTACTAGACAGGGTAGATAAAGAACATTTCAATCACTGTAGAAAGTCCTGTTGGACCATGCTGCTCCAGAGGTTCTCAGGTTGTTAAGAAATGTCACACATTGGCCAGGTATGGTAGCTCACACCTGTAATCCCAGCACGTTGGGAGTCCAAGGCGGGTGGATCACGAGGTCAGGAGATTGAGACCATCGTGGCTAACATGGTGAAACCTCATCTCCACCAAAAAAAAATACAAAAAAATTAGCTGGGCATGATGGCGGGCGCCTGTAGTCCCAGCTCCTCTGGAGGCTGAGGCAGGAGAATGGTGTGAACCTGGGAGGCGGAGCTGGCAGTGAGCCGAGATCGTGCCACTGCACTCCAGCCTGGGGGACAGAGCTAGACTCAGTCTCAAAAAAAAAAAAGAAAGAAAGACATGTCGCACACACACCCTGAGCTTGTGTGTGACATAAATTTGACAAACACTGGATTAAACATATACAGAGAACTTTACCACAGAACTTCTCAAAACCATGATATACTCATATACAATGAGAATCTCTAAGAAAACTGATGATAAAACAAAGCAATATTCTTTAAACGTACTTGACCAAGAAATCTCATGTACCTAGTATTTCCAAAATACATTTTAGGAAATTCTGCCTGAACAGTAAGTTCCCAGAGGACAGAGATGGTATTGAATTTATATCTGTTTCTCTAGCATCTAGCCCAAGAACTGGTATACAATAGATCCTCAGGAAGTTTTTATTGCTTGGAATAGATAAATTCTACTAACTAGTTGCCTTCTGGAAAAATCTTACCTTAAAATAAATTTCTGTTAGTAAAACCTATTCATCACCATCATAAGACTAGAGATCTAGTTCAAAATAATTTCTCCTAACTGAAATTAAACCCTACATAAAATCTTGTCATATTAAAAAAATAATTACAGAATGTTGATAAAATATAAATAATACCATAAAAAATAGTAACAGTGGTATACTCAAAATCAGTGGCAAAGCATACCAAAATACAAAAGCAGGATACAATGACAAAAACTATCAGGACAATCACCTCCTAGGCTGTCTCTGCTGGAGGAGTGGGAGCCTCCAAAGATTTAAGAAGAAAGCTGTCGGCCGGATGCAGTGGCTCACGCCTGTAATCCCAGCACTTTGGGAGGCCAAGGCGGGCGGATCACAAGGTCAAGAGATCAAGACCATCCTGGCCAACATGGTGAAACCCTGTCTCTACTAAAACTACAAAAACTAGCCAGGCGTGGTGGCGCATGCCTGTAATCCCAGCTACTCAGGAGGCTGAGGCAGGAGAATCCCTTGAACCCAGGAGGCAGAGGTTGCAGAGAGCCAAGATCGCACCACTGCATTCCAGCCTGACGACAGAGCGAGACTCCGTCTCAAAAAAAAAAAAAAAAGGAGAGGAAGAAAGCTGTCTGCTCAATCACTTGGGTATGGCAAACTTTCCGTCCTGTGCGATTTCCTTCTCATCAGAATACACTGCTCTGTTCAGGCATCTTTCACTAGTACTCCTCGGTGAACAGGAGCAAAACAGAGAGGGCTTAAATACAATCAGTGTTCAGAACCACCATGCTGTGAGGCCAGAGCTAGTGTCTGATATCCATCAGAAAGCTGGGAGCCTGCCTGGGCAGGATGACCGTAACGTTCCGGCGAGTGTTTTGTTTATTTATAACTGATGTCCCCATAGCGAGTGCTTGGCAAAGAACTGAACCTTGCTGGATACCAACCTGCAGGGGGAGCTGGATGTCCCTACTAAACACTGACCCTCAAATGCCAGGAGAGAAATCCCCAATTCTGCATGTTCTGAGGCATGCCATTCATCAAAACGAATTTACGGTCTTCAAATGCTGAATTCTGTTCAGTAGATTTCTGCTAACTGTATCAATAAAGCACAGCTACTCCAGAGAGCTGAAAATGCTTTCTACATGACGAACTGTTTTACAAAGCAGGAACTGGCCTATTCCAGTCTTAATCATTCTATCACGGTAGCTCTGAACCACCACGGCCCTCAGGGTAGGAGACCCTCTGTGTGGCCACCTCGCTTGTGGCTAGCCCCGCCTGACCCTGCAGCTGCCCTCAAATCCTCGCTGCTCTTCTGAATATTCAACATCCCAACTATTCCTAAGTGCCCTCTACTCGCATAACATTGGGCCAAAGAGCCTCTGGTGAAACCTCATCTCCACCAAAAAAAAATACAAAAAAATTAGCTGGGCATGATGGCGGGCGCCTGTAGTCCCAGCTACTAGGGAGGCTGAGACAGGAGAATGGCGTGAACCCGGGAGGCGGAGCTTGCAGTGAGCTGAGATCGCGCCACTGCACTCCAGCCTAGGCGACAGAGCAAGAGACTCTG